GACGGAGTTAGGCTTTTCTCAGTGATGACCAGTGATAGGACAAGAGGTAATGGGTGTAAATTGAAGCATAGGAGGTTCAAGGTGAATATCCGAAAAAAATTTTTTACTGTAAGAGTGACAGAGCACTGGAACAGACTGCCCAGGGAGGTTGTGGAGTCTCCTTCACTGGAGACATTCAAAACCCACCTGGATGCGTTCCTGTGTGATGTGCTCTAGGTGACCCTGCTCTGGCAGGGGGGTTGGACTAGATGATCTTTCAAGGTCCCTTCCAACCCCTAAGATTCTATGATTCTATGATTCTATGATTTAAAGGGAACATTCAATAATTGATGGGAGTTTGGATGGTATTCTAAAAAGCGAATCTCCAAGGCTTTTTATTTTTGCTGCTGTTATTTTTATTTTAAAGAAGCTGTCATGCTCTCCGTTTCTTTTGCATAAGAAAATGAAAATAGAATTATGACCTCAAAAAACATAGTGAACCTCACTGAACTGTAACTGATTTGCTTTGAAGTCCTTTCTGGTGGAATAATATTAGAAGAATAAGAAAGTCTAAGACATCTGTAGATGTACTAAGTGAGAGATTAGAAGGCAAAGCTAATCGATTCTGAAAAGAATACCTACCATGTGGTCTAATTCATGTGAAAAGAAAGTATGTTTTACAAATTCTACCAATTTTACAATAATTGCATTTTTCATTCCCTCCAGTTAAGAACACAGTACATAACATTAGCAAAGAGATCTTTTCAGAGTGTTCTGTGCTTCACACTTTGCTTGGGATGTGGAAGAAACTTACTGTCGGAGTCTGATTTACTCAAAACATGATGAAATTGCTACCACACTCATTCTCAAAAAAACTACATCTTTACTCTGAGGAGAGACCTACAAAAAAGACTGTACAAATTAGCACATATCGAACTCCTCCAAGATGGTTCATTTTTCTTTCCACTAAACTTCCTGTTTAAAGTGCATTGAAGTAAATTAAAAACATATATTGTTTTCAGTGGACACCAGTACAGCTTAAATCCTATTAAATACAGCCACTTGGTTTCCCAGTTTTTTTGAAAGGTCCATCATGAATGATGTAAATTATGAGATGCCAAAGAGTATTCTTGAATACTCTAATGAATAACTTTTAGCTCCCATTAACAGAAAAGCCCTAGTGACGTTTTTTATTTAATTATTTACCTCTTTCATTCAATTATCATATGGTCTATTTGACTAATTGCAGGGTAATGTGGAGTGGACAACTGAACAGGAATTTACAAACTCTGTTTTTCCTTCCTTAAAAAGCACATGCAAGAAGAAATGCATCACCAATACCAATTTGATGGAGACGAGTCCATTTAATAGGAGGAGAAACAGACTCCAGTTCTGCTGGTGAGCTCCAGGACCTCAGGTCCCCATGGAGGGCTGGGGCCCAGGTCTGCCTCCTTGTTTGGCTTCTGTATTTTTGCATATGCAGTGAAACCTGTTACTAGCGGGCTGATAAAAATTTGACCTTGCTCACATTTGACTACAAATCATAGGATGCCAGGCTGGAAGGAAAATCAACAATCAGCTGGTTCAAACTTTTCCGCCAAAACCATGGTCTAGATAAAATACACTTCGATTCCTGAGAAGACAGTCTTCCTGAACTGAGTTTTTAACTGTTTTCTGAAATGACTGTGCCACTGTTTGGGGCTGCACCACTGCAATCTGTGGGAGGTTTGCTGTTGGTAACAATGTCTCCGAGGAAACAGCAATCAGGGGAGAGCTCTCTGTTTCCTGGTAAGGTTTTTTGGCTTCCCAATAACTCTCTGAAGTGTTTGGTTAGCTTTAAATCACTATGGTACTGCCAAAAAAAAAGATCATTCAACAAAGCCAATCAAAAAAGATGTACAATAGCTTTTGTAGAGTTCACCTCACTGAAACCCATCCATAAGAAGCCAATTTGGTGACGGGAATGGCACCTGCAACACTCTCCCTTAGGATTTTAGTTTGCAGCATTGAACATTTGGGCCACTATATTTAGCATATTCCTGCTTTTGTTTGCGCTTCTGAATTACACAGTATTCAGAACCTGCCAGTATTACTGAGTACGCTGCAGACTCTTTACTGTTTCTGATCGTTGTACAAGGAGATTAAATATAATGAAAGATGGCTGTTAACAATAAATTACTATTTAAAGTGTCCACAGGTATTTTGGAAAGCTAGTTATGGTAATTTCTTCATATGCTGCAACACAGAAAGTGTAGCATAGTACAATAAATTAGTTCTAGACTCATACTGAATTTAAAGATATATATATATATCTCATTTCAAACATAGGCATACAAGTTTTGGAAGGTACTTCAGAAATACACTGACAGATTAAAAAAGTACTTTTGTTCTGTGATATCATCAAAAATTTCTTCCTAAATGGACATATGGAAATAAATATTTGGAATCTATTGCTTTTGTGATCCTTTTCCTCCTTGTAAGTTTTTAAAATGAAACAGGAACTATAAATGATTCCTAGGGCACATTTACACCAATCTTGGTCAAACAGCCTGAACCAGTGTTGAACCTACTGAACAATGCACTGAAAAAGCTGATTATACTTTCACTATACAGGGATGGGTGGAAAGAAGAGACAGCTGTTCCTAGTGAATCATTTAAAGCTCTGCCTGAGAGAAAACATCCGTGATTCTCATCACAGAGCAAAGCAAAGAATAATTTCAGTAACTTCTGATGCAAACACAGCAAACACACAGAAGGCCATCATTCTTCATACTAGAAATATTTTATCATTTGTGCAATTACGATCAATAACAGCCAGAGGATTAGCTTAGTGTCTTCTGGCTTAATAAGACAACTAAACAATCTCTTGTAGACTATCTTCTATTCTGACAATCTGCAACAATGTGTCCAAATTAAGGAAGAGACAGCCACAGCAACTAGAAATAAATCCAAAGATGCAGACAATTCTGAGCTAGACGTCTTGAACGGATGCTCCGTCTCCAGTTCTGTGCTATGGCACATGTAGTGGTTTTCTGGCCTTTTGAGAGCATCACTTCAGTAAAAAAAAAGACTAAGGTAACTGTTCATATCTTCACTACATCCTAATAAAGTCAGGTAAGAAATTCCCACATGCCGTGCATTTTATCAGCAGTCCAACACTATACATGAAATAGCAGTTTGGGCTCCAGACTACAATGTAGTACACATCCTCTGCAGTCTCCCAGGTCCTCTAAGTTAAAAGGTCAGATTCTCAGCCATTAACTGGCTGGCAGTTTTGAAGAAAGACAGAAAGAGGCACAGAGATAAAGTCATAGTTCATCCAATTCAAGGGGATTTTTACTCTGATTCTTGTTCCAACATAATCTAGGGCAGTCTCATGCATGCCATCAATTACCCCTGCTGTTGTGGTCTCCATCAGTCACTTCACCATTACTTGGGCACAGACCACTCAACACCCATCTGACCTGCCCCTCAGCACAAAACTTTGACCAAGGACTACCAATCTGCTACTCCAATCAACTGAAGCTGAAAAACAGTCCACTAAAAGGAGACTACTCACAGAATCTACTCCCAGACCCTTTAAAGGCACAGCCAAATCACAGCTGAGAATTTGGCTTTTGATTTTTACTGTGTGTCACGTCACCTGCACAGAAATACTAACCATTTGCCTAGCCAGATGGATCTGTGCAAACATTTTTACATTTATTCCCAGCATATCTTCTACACATTCTGGTGAAAAGAATATTTCTAATCAAGACTTCTATCAGGTTTAAACTGTTCAACTCTTCAACAAAGTTGCCTGCTTGAATTTTGCAGTTTGAGCCACTAAGATAAGCACCTATCTATGCCATAATGTAAAAGAACCACAAATAAACCTCGTGTTCCCCCCAGGCTCCACCTAGAAACTTTATTTTCTTGTTTATGTCACTGTATCCCTTCACAAAAGGGTGTCTCTCATTCACTCAAAGATGTGCCATAGCCTCACTCATCAAAGCACAAGAAAACTTATTCTGCTTAATTTTGAAGTCCCTTTTAAACTTCTGTTGAACATTTCACTTGACTCAAACATGATGTAAAAGGAGAAGGGGGGAAATACGTGTTCAAAGGAAACCAGAGGAGTTTTACTGAAAATTGGGGGGGGAGGGAGGGATGGCCAAAAAAACCCCAAACTAAACCCAAAAGCATCCAAATAAAAAAACAAAGAACTCAAGTAAAAAGTTGAACATTGTGGGTCTGGTCCTCCTCTACTGCAACAGACGTAAATTAGGAATAAATCCATTCAAGCTGGTCAGCAAGATTAAAAAAGAGACACACTCTTAAGATCATCTTATCAAACAAAAACTTCCTATTTTTAGAATTACATAAGATTCCAGATTTTACAAGGTTCCTATTTTGGAGTGAGAAATTCTCAGGTTGCAACACAAAATAATGCTTAGTAAAAATATACGGAGCTCTACAACTCCTTTGCATAACTTTTCTGGAGTTGCACTTTCCCAGGCTGGACTCTCTTTTTCTACTGCTCATTTTCTTCCCCCCATTCTGCCAATTTTAATCTAGTAAGGAAAGTCCTTTTCTAGCAAGCACTGTCAAAATATTCAGGACATGGCCCTTGCACTCAGAGAATGCAATGCTGTGTCCAGACAGCAGTGCTGGGTGCCTCAGGGATTTGTAATAATCGACACGCATATTCCTAGCAGTCAAGATGTGTCCCACTGTACAACTGTGCACCTCTGCCTTTGATTCATTTGGGGTGCATGTTCATCCCAAAGGCAAGTTCTGTGTAGCCAGAGCAGTCTGTTTGAAGAGAGTAATGGTTCACTGCTAGCTGAAGGGAGGAAGATAAACCTGTTACCCATTACTCTGGTAGGAGTTAACTATCCCCAATAACTCCAGCCTTTACAACGGGAAAGTAGCACACAGCTTTTATAAATAACAATTATTGACCTTTTTAAATAGTTTCAAAAGAAGAAACTCTGCATCAAATGTGAATATAATTTAGGAACTACTACATAGCAGCAAAACTACATTAGACTTTCCGATTTTTCCATGGTATCCTTGGATAGATACACCACCCAGTAGACCATGTTAAATGCTCCAAAGGTAACAGGAAATAAAATGCGTGCATATTTGTCTATCTTACTCGTGCCAGAGTGAGAGGCAGGGGGAGCAGGTGGTGTGACAGCAGATGGCTTTGCAGATGCTCCTAATGTATTAGGTGTGATGGTCTGAATCTGCTCCAGTCTAGATCCAAGCAAGTGCTGAATGGAAGGGGATCCAGCTGTGGCATGCTGGGATACAAATCCAGTTAAAATTGGGGTAGAAGGAGGAGCTGGAGGTGTAGCTCTTGCAGAAGATAACGTCTCTGATGCATTGATGCGTGTGAAAGGATTTGGACTTGATGCAGAAAGGGAGTGGGGTGTAATGTCAGAAGACCCCTGAGCTACAGAGGGAGGCTTGATGGAGCTGTGCCTTGTGTCAATTCGGCTCCCACCATCAGCTTCAGATTGTACTGTGGCATTGATTCTTTTTCTCACATTTGAGTTGGCATCTGTACTCTGCAAAATTACAAAAAACAAACAAACAAACAAACAAAACAACTTTCTAGTAATTCTTAAGATATTGACTTAAACAGAAGCAATGGAAACTTTGTAACCAAGTGGGATCAGAATAATATTCACAAATACAAACCAGTGGCTTGATCTGGAAGCAGAAAGATACTGCATGCTCATGAAAATAGGTTTAATAGCATATAAAGTGATGAAAAAGAGTTTCTTTTACCTGTGGCTGGAATGCCAGGGTGAACACACCTGATGCATCACGCTCCATGTGATTTGATAACTATGCAAACTTAATACCAGGAGGTTAAGAATTCTGGAGTTAGAAACAGTGTTTTCTTCCAGGCTCATGCTAAAACCAAAATCCTCTGTTGTTTACCTACTTTTCTAAAGATACAAAAACATTCTAGACTCAACTTACCAGCCACGATGATTTGTTCCTACTTTATAGCTCCAGAAGAGGAACTACCATACACAGGAAACTCTAGTCCATCTTCCAGAGTAGTGCTATTAAAATGCAAGTATTCACCAAACCAAGTTACCATATTGCTTCTCTTTCAGAAATAAAAGCCAGTGCTTTTTCACATCAACCACAGGCAATAAATTATCCAACTGCAATTGAATAAATCAGTCTTTCATCAGCTACTCCTTTCCATTAATTAACTAAGAAAAGTGGTGAATTCTCCATCACTTGATATATTCAGGCAAATCTGGATGTCACTCTGAAAGATATACTTTCATCAAATGGTACTTATTAGGGCAGATGAGAAACTGAAACACAAATAAGGAAATAGAGATGAGAAATCCAGCAGAGTTCAATATCTGACTGACTTCTGGAAGTAGGACTCAGGCTCTGCCTTCCTCAAAAAAAAAAATACCTGAAAAAGCAATTGAAAGACAAACCAATCAGATCACTTGACATCTTCAGCACTCCCACCACGGACAGATTGCTGGTCCTAAATCCTGTAAATTGCAGCAGCAATCAGTCACTGGCAATACTGTTGGCCTGAATTTATCTGTAGCTGCCAGAGATACACGCCAGTTCATGGCTGCTGTATTTGCCAGCTCACGGTTGATATATCCAATAATCCCTTCTAGATTTCACAGTTTTCCTTCTTGCATAGAAAAGTGCCAATCCCTTTTATTTATTTTTCTGCACCTGCAATCCGAAGAAGCAGAGGACTGGAATAAGCACCAGAGGAAAATGGTATTTCCTGAAAAAAAACACTAGTTGTACTGTTTGAAAGAAAAGCCTGAGTCACTCTTTGGGAAGGACAGAGAGACACACAGGTGTATAATTGGGACACTTTCACACTGGGGTTGTCAGTGGAACAGTAAAGCTGCTTTTAAGACTGATAAATTGAAATTATAAAATACACTCAAGACAGGAGTGCATTTACTAGAGACTTGACAACACCTGATGGAGTACTGCATGTAACTTGAAGGCCTCCAAAGCTAAGCAGATGTAAGTCATTGATATTCACTGTCCAAAACAACAGCTCTGTGCTATGGAGAAGCCAGCACTACAGGCATCCAGAGGACGTGAGTTCACATTCTACACGCAGATCTCTGGACAACCTGGCTTTGCTCAAGTCAGACTCTCCCATCATAAAGCTCTCAAGCAGTCCCTGGGGAACAAAAGCCCACAGGCTGGGACACGGGTTGCAAAGATCAGCATACTCCTAGTAAAAGGATATTGTGATAATGACAGTATGATCAACAAAGCGATACTCACATGTAAAGCACTTCCTGTCTCCAAAAATTATTTCACTTAGTCTTTTTAAACAACAGTAAGAAACACAAACCTACTGCCTACCTGTAGCACAAATACAAGAAATAAAACATGAAAATCAAACTGAAGCCAAATTAAAACGCAATCCAAGAAATTAAGGGATTATCCAAGTAAACATTCCATTCCAAGGGCAAGTCAGGAAACCACTCGATCATCCTGAGCCAACAGAGAGTTGCTGTGCTAGTCCAGATGGGGCTTCACAGAAAATACTGAGTCGACATTTTTTAAAATTCTCACTCTAGATTCAGAAAGGATCTGACCTTCTGGATACATTTCAGTGAGATTTCTGGGAGACATTTAAAATGGCATAGCTCAGGAATGCAAAATGGGAGTCTGGAAGCTACCACTAACTGCACTGTATTACAGCATGCAACGTCAGCCTTAATTAGTTTGATAAAGACTGTCTTTCTAGAAACACAACAACGTGCTGCTTGCATAAATGACACCTCATCCTTCCTTTGAAACAGCCAATCATTCTAATTTGGTCCAAACAACTCCATACTTTACAACCACCATCAAACTACAGCTGTAAGTGCTTTGCTGTATCCTCCTCCAAGAGGAGAATCTTCCTTCCATTGATCCTGTCAGGATAGTTAAACACCTGAATGTTAACTGGCAGAAACACTACGGATGAGAGTCTCAAAATCCAGGTCAACCTGACAGAACAATTCCTGTCCATGCATAGACATATTCCTAAAGGGATCCAATAATTATCTAAGAGTATATATTTTGTTCTAATTGTAATTGCAAGACATCTTCATTGGATAAAGCTCTGTGGTTGGCTGAGATATGTTAATACTAAGAATCTACAGAACCAGTCTCCTATTTGATTTTTAAAAGAAAAGATGGGAAACAAGGAAAGCCAAGTTTCAGCCTGTATGTGACTTGGGACACTTATCACTGAGACTTTAATTGAGGGACACTAAAAGGTACAGCATACCAGAAGTAGAGAGGTGACTGCACTAACATAGCCAAGGAACTGACCAAACACAGGGAAATGCAGACTTCACTCTTTTTCAGAAGAGACTGATAATGACTTGTTCTTTCTGCACAGGTGAATATTGGGAAGGGAAGGGAACTCAGTAGAAGAGATTTAGAGAGCTCCACCCTGTGCATTAGCACACTTTACTCTGGAGTAGAAGGGAGGCACAGGATAGACTGTAGGTTCAAATTCTGTCAGACAGGGAAATAACTGAATCTGTCCACATCTCAAATCTCCTCAAGAAGTGTTCAAATTAAGCATGGGATACCTCTCTGCCTCCCCATTTATTGAAAGCACCTGGGGCAGGTTGGTTGTAAACAATAGTTTCTGAAGGCCAAGCTTACACATCTCAAGCCTTCTCCCATGGTGCTCCATCTGGCTTGGATTCAGCATTCTGGATTTGAGGTTTCAGCATCACTACCTTAGAGACCTGGGTCTCAGCAGGCATCTGATGGGTACATACGACTGAAATCCCACTAAGTCTGTGGATTATGTGCTACAGCATCTGACCTCTTTAGGCAAAGTAGTTTGTGCACTAAAACTAAAGAAACAAGAAAAAAACTCACTGCAGTTTGCAACCAAGAGGTGCAGTCAGATGATTTACAGCTCAGAGCAGAGAATGTCAGATATCTGCAAAGATTATGTTTTCTGAGATATCACTGCAAAAAAAGCATGACACAGAAGACAGTGGTAATTCCCATCACTGGCTCTAGTTGTTCAGCCCACCCTGAATAATAGTAATAGGCAGATTACAATTTAGTAGTGTTAGGTCAGAGGGTCTTTCCCAACTTAAATGATTCTATGATTCTACTTTATATGAGGTGATGGTAGACTTTCACCAAATTTGGTACTAAACCCATTAAAAAGGCCCCAGATATGGAATAAAATAATCTAAATCCTCTATTCTGCAGAGGATAACTGTGTTCTCTGTAGTTTTGAGAATTAAGGTGGAAACTGTTTTAACATGATCAATAAACAGCATGCAGTATGCAAAAAGATTTTGAAATATTTACTTTATTTAAAAGCATAGAGATCTTACTTTAATTTTAAGCATTACATGCCATTTTGCATGGTTTTTATCTTTAAAAGAACTCACAAAGAATGTATTCCTATGTAAAAAGTCATGATGTAAGATGCCCTTTTGCTAGTCCCAGAGCAGAAAGTCCATTTTATTTGACATGAAGATAGGATAACTAAACCATCTCCTTGCAGGCATGTGTAAAATGTGATAACTAATGCTATATCCTCCCTTTGACAAGTGGATTCACATGCAATTAACCACGATTGATTCGTTAATCAATGAAAGATGCAGTTGGCACACTTCAGGATAAATCTATACAATTTACTGTTAAATATTGTGGCACATTTGCAGAGCAAGTTTGGTGGTCACCTTCTATGACAAAATGCATAGAAAAAAACCCACAACGACAAAAAATCAATTTGCACACCACCTGCCTTTCTATTTCAGCTCAGCTTTATACTGCTGTTTACTACTACACTAAAGTGATACACAAATTTGAGTCAAACTAAACTCTTCAATATTTAACCATTTTTGCACACTACAAAAATCTGCTCACATAATGTGGAAATTCTGAAACTTTCTCCAAGCCTACATAAGCCTTGGCTTGAGCTAAAAAAAATAAAGTACTGGATTATTTTGTTTGTATTACCAGTTTTTGCCAAGTAAGCCAATTTTGCACTTCAATTAAGTCAAGATTGCAAATTTAGCATTAACTTAAGTAGCATGCAGCAGCTGAGCTGAGATTCATGGGAAGCGGACCATCAGCACAGCAATACACAATACTGAACTGACAAACTTAGCATCTTGTTGTTACAGAACAAAGAGATATGGTAACCACCACAGTATGTGTTTTGTGTAAGGCCAACCTAGAATCTGTAATACAAACAAGAACATTATTTAAAAGTCACATGCCAAGTCGTGGGAAGAATATAAAAGTGATTACCAAGGCATCAGGCAACTTTACCCTTAGAACTGCTCTTAGGGATGTAACTCTGCAAACTGTGATAAATTCTTAATGTTGATACATCACTGTACAGAGTTGCTCTTTCATACTCAAGAGCATCTTCCTATAGCCTGTTAGTGCTCTACACAGCAGCTTCAACTCAGTCTCTGCAATTTTAAATTCCTTGGTAGTTTGTATGATTGATATATTCTGTTGGGATCTAAATCCAAAGTCATCAGTTCCTGTTGCCTGAGCTAACAGG